GTTTGCAGAACTGCGCCCAAGGCAGTAGATCAGCTGGAGAATACACTGAGGAGTTTTTGAGGCTTAGTGCCCGAAATAATCTGCATGAGAGCAGCCTCCAACAGGTGGCCCGATTCATACGAGGCCTTCGCGAGCCTATCTAAGAGAAACTCGAGCTCAAAACCATCAAAACCCTTCCCCAAGCTATAAACCTAGCCTATAAAGCCGAGATGAGCGTTATTAAGTCCACAAAACCTTTTTTCTATCGTCGGAACCCACCAGAATACGCACAAAACAAGCCAAACACCAACACCAATAGCCCCCATAACTCACCAAAGCCTGCCCCAAACATTGCCCCCTTCAAACCTAACCCGGCCTTAAACACTTCAAACACCAACCCCAATCCAAACACGGCACCTAACCCATATGCCAAGCCTTATGGATTCAAATGCTACCGCTGTAACCAACCCGGCCACAAATCAAATGAATGTCCCATCCGAAAGCCTCAAGCTAACCTAGCTGAAGGAGAAATGGAATCGGGCAGTGAGGAGTTCACAGAGATGTTTGGTTCCTTTGAGGGAGCCGAAGTGGTCGAAGGTGATGTGGGTGAGGAAGTCATATGTGTTATGCAGCACTTGTTGCTGTCCCTGAAGCGCCTTGAACCCACTCAGCGACATGCTATTTTTAAGACCAAGTGCACCATCAACTCGAAGGTGTGCAACGTCATTATTGACAGCAGTAGTAGTGAGAATGTGGTATCGAGAGGGCTAGTCAAGGCTCTCGGCTTACAGACCACAAAAAAAACCTCACCCTTACAGGATTGGATGGGTGAAGAAAGGTGTGGACGTTAGAGTCGATGAAGTGTGCCGAGTCCCCTTCTCTATCGGAAAGTTTTATAGAGACGAGGTGGAGTGTGATGTTATCGACACGGATGCTTGTCATGTCCTTTTAGGACAACCTTGGGAGTTCGACATGAAGACTGTCCGCAACGGCCGAGACAATACTTATCAATTCAAGTGGAAAGGACGAAAAATCGTCCTTCTCCCCTCCAAGGAACAACAACCTAGTTCTAGCGGTCCGATCACCGAAAAGAAGGTAATGTGTAATCAGAGTGGTGTAGCCTTCCAAAAGGAGATGCTTGGGGAACCCTTTGTCTTCGCCTTGGTGTTGAAAGAAAAAACCACGAGGCAGCCACTGTACCACCATTATTGGAGGTCTTACTGCAGAAATTTGGTGACGTATCCCCGGAGGAACTACCAAGCATGCTGCCCCCTATGCGTGATATCCAACATCACATCGATCTCGTGCTTGGAGCCTCTCTCCCAAACCTTCCGCACTACCGCATGAGCCTAAAGGAGAATGAGATCCTTCAGGGCATCGTTGATGACTTGATGTCTAAGAGACTCATTAGACCAAGCTTGAGCCCTTGTGTCGTCCCGGCCCTCTTGGTCCCAAAGAAGGATCACACTTGGAGAATGTGTGTTGACAACCGCGCAATTAACAAGATCACCGTGAAGTATAGGTTCCCTATCCCTCGACTCGAGGATATGCTGGACAAACTAAAGGGTGCCACGGTGTTCTCTAAATTGGACCTCCGGAGTGGCTATCATCAAATTCGCATCCGGCCTAAAGATGAGTGGAAGACCGCATTCAAGACTCGTGAAGGATTATACAAATGGCTAGTCATGCCATTCGGGCTATGCAACGCCCCAAGTACTTTCATGAGGCTCATACACCAAGTCCTCAAGCCATTCATTGGTGAGTTCGCTGTGGTATACTTTGATGATATCCTTGTCCATAGCAATAATCACGGCGACCATTTGCAGCACTTGGAGGCCATATTTGAAGCTCTTCGGCAAAGCAAGCTTTATTTCAACATGAAGAAGTGTGCCTTTATGACAGATCGAGTCCTCTTCTTGGGCTTTGTAGTGAGTGCCGAGGGAATTGCCACTGATGACAATAACATTGTCGCCATCAAAGAATGGCCCACTCCTACCACTGCCAGCGAGGTCCGCAGCGTCCACGGGTTAGCAACCTTTTACCGACGGTTCGTCCACAATTTCAGCAGCATTGCAGCCCTCCTCACTGATTGTTTGAAGCATAAGACCTTACAATGGGGTCCTGGCCAAGATGACAGCTTCCGGACTCTCAAGTCTAAGCTAACCTCGGCTCCCATCCTCGCGCTATCTAACTTTGACAAGGCTTTCGAGGTGGAAACCGATGCCTCCATGCTGAGAATTGGTGCTGTGTTGACACAAGAAGGCAGACCCATTGAGTATTTCAACGAGAAACTCAATGAAACTAGGCAGCGGTGGTCTACTTATGAGCAAGAACTATACGCGGTCGTTTGAGCTTTGAAAATTTGGGAACATTTCCTGGTGCATAAAGAGTTTGTGCTTCACAGCGACCACCAAGCACTTCGTTTCCTCAAGTCTCAAAAGTCTATTAGCCGCATGCACGCCCGATGGATTCTTTTCTTAGAGAAATTTACTTTTGTTATCAAACATTGTTCAGGTGTTCAAAACAAAGTGGCTGATGCGCTGATTCGTCGTGCTCACCTCTTAGTCACCTTCCACTCGAAGATCACAGCTTTCGACACACTCAAAGGTTTATATCCTAACGATGCAGATTTCGGCCCTCCCTAGACCAAATGTGCTCTACGGGAACCCTGTAGCGATTTCTCCATTCAAGACGGTTTCCTATTCAAAGGAAATCAACTTTGTGTTCCTCACACATCCCTTCGCGAGCAGCTCATCCGAGAGCTACACTCGGGCGGCCTGGTAGTGTATTCGAGCTGAGACAAAGCTTTCACTCTCCTAAGTGAGCGTTTCTTTTGGCCCTCCATGCGTCGTGATGTTACTCGGTTTGTGGAACGCTGCGGTGTCTGCCAGTCGGCCAAGGGACACTCTCAAAACACTGGCCTCTACACTCCCCTTCCTATCCCTGAGACTATTTAGGTTGACCTGAGCTTGGACTTTGTCCTTGGTCTGCCCAAGACGACTCGCCATGTTGATTCAGTGATGGTTGTGGTTGACAGGTTCTCCAAGATGGTGTACTTCAGTCCTTCCCGCAAGACGGGAGATGCAAGCTTTGTCGCCCATCTCTTCTTTCGCAACTTTGTGAAGCTCCATGGGGTACCCCGGTCCATTACCTCGGACAGAGATGGCAAGTTCATCTCCCATTTTTGGCGTGAGCTCTGGAAGCGTTTTGACACTTCGTTGAAGTTCAGTAGCGCCTATCACCCTCAAACTGACGGCCAAACCAAGGTTGTCAATCGCACTTTGGGTGACATGCTACGCTGTGTTGCTAGTGACAAACCAAAAGGGTGGGATCTCTCTCTTGCTCAGATCGAGTTTGCCTACAACTCCATGACAAACCGTTTAACTGGTCAGTCTCCCTTTTCCATTGTCTACACTAAAGTCCCTAATTTTAACTTGGATCTACTCCAACTCCCCAAGTTCCGGAGCAAGATTGCTGCCGCCCTTGCTGATGACGTGGTCTTGACCCACCAGAATGTCCAGAAGAAGTTGACCGAGGCTGCTGCCCGTTACCTGCTGCCCGTTACAAGCTCGATGTTGACAAGCACAGCTGCGCGAAGGTGTTCCACGAAGGTGACTTGGTTATGGTGCATCTTCGTAAGGAGCGCTTTCCTGTGGGGACTTACAACAAATTGAAACCTAAGAAGTTGGGACCATTTCACATCAGTCGGAAAATCAATGATAATGCTTATGTTATTGACCTTCCCCCTGATTTGCATATCTCGCCTACCTTCAATGTCTCATACTTGTACGAGTACTTCCCACCAGATGCTTCTTCAGCCTCTTTTGTTTGAATTCGCGGACGAATTCTTTTCTACAGCGGGGGTCACTGATGCAGTAGCATATTGATAGCTATATTTCTTGTCGTTTACTTAGGGGGCGTTTGGTAGAGAGATTCGTTCCCTGATTCGAATCATGATTCGTGGTTCGCTACAGTATTTTCTCTCACAAAAAATACACGTAAATCGAAAATGGTTCGAATCACATGGTTTGAATCCTTCAACCAAACGAACCCTTAATTATTTGTCTTTCCTTTTTGAGTTATCGTTTTACTTATGCTTTGTCGTTAGCCCTGTGAGCTATCATTTTGTTTCTGTAAGCCTTATTAGGCAAGACTTGCTTTCGTGAAGAGCAGAAAAATCAATTAATCCTAAATCAACTTTTGCCCTGAGTTTGCTCTCTGGTTTCTTTGCTTACGGCTGCCCGTAGCCTAATAGATCTAGGAGCATTTGGACTGCCCGTCCTTTCTCTGTCCGATTCGGTCAGTAAACCCCATTTCAGATCACTCTCTACGTCAGAGACTTTTGTTGCTTGAGACAAAGTTTTCATTTCATTTTTTTTGTTTTTTTGTTTTTGTTTTTTTAAATGTACAAGTACAAGTATACAACTGCTAAAAGTTAACTCAAACCGCGTTCCTTCCGAGTTCGAAGTTGCACTTCCAGGTAACCACGTCGCCATGGACCAGTTTTGGATAACGAGACTTGTATTTTATTTTATTTTCTGTAGTACCCTTTAAACCTAATTATCATGTAATTAATAAAATCAATAGTAATTAGAAAACACAACAAAAGACGATCACTTTTCAATTAGGAATGACGGCATAAGTAATGTTCAATCACACGGTTTTGTGACAATTTTGCTGATTTCTTTTTTAGTGGTCGTTACTCGTTGGTGCATTGAACTCACTTTCACAGCAGCTTACAGTTAGTTAAACCAATTTTCATATATATATATATAATTTATATATTTAAAAGTGACTTGATAAATACGTAATTATTAAAAATTCTTTTTATTTCGGTTTTATTACTCCAACCTTTCGTGGAAAAACTCTTGCGAACACTTTCCTAGAAAAAGCCAACCTATTCTCTCTCTTCCTCATCATTATTAAAGCCCCAAATACCTTGTTAATCATCAGTATCACAAGTTCATTATTTTTCATCCTCCCCGTCTTCTTTTTTGGGCTAAAGATTTTCCACTTCCATTTATTTATCACCAAAAACTTCTGCTCTCATTATCTGTAGTTATTTTTTCAAGACTAACCATAGAAATCTCTCTCTTTTTTTTTTTTTACCCTTTTTCCTTCTTTTGAGTCTCACTAATAAAAACTTGCCACGTGAGCAAAAACAACGAAAACAACTATTTTACTTCCAAAAAGAAAAAAATAAAAAAAAAAAAGACCAAGAGAGTAGACCAAAGTCAACAATTATTGGTCTCTTTCCCAACAATACAGTAAACTGTAAACTCATAGCTTTTTTCAACATCTCTTCCCTATCTTGTCCTCCATTTTCTCTCCATCCCTTGAAGCTTTTCGATTTCCGAGCTCGACCCATTTGAGAGACCTCGTCGGAGACCTCGCCGGCGTCCATGGATTATCGCCGTGGCGGCGGCGCCGGCGGCTGCTGCCGGTGCTGCTTCAGCTTCATCTTCACTCTCGGCCTCACCGCCCTCTTTTTGTGGCTAAGTCTCCGCACCTCAAAGCCCACTTGCGCCGTCCAATCCATCTACTTCCCGGCCCTCAACAGAACCTTAAACAATCCGAAAAACACCACGGTTTATCTCACCTTAAGGCTCGAAAACGGCAACAAGGACAAGGGAATCTTCTACGACAACGTCAATCTCACGCTCTCGTACATTCCCAACATCACCGATCCGAAGAAGATCAAACTAGTAAACGACACGTTTGTTACTGCGTTTTATCAGGGGCACAAGAAGACGGCCAAGAAGGAGGTGAACTTCTCCGCCGCGGAGCTGAACTGGACGGCGGCGAGGGCGGTCAATTCGACAACGTTTTTTAGGGTAGATTTGGCGACGGCAGTGAGGTTCAAGATCATGGCGTGGAAGACCAAGAGGTATAGGATTATGGTTGGTGCTAACGTGGAAGTCAACGAGTTTGGAGAGAAAGTCAAGAAGAAGAAGAAGGGGATTAAGCTATCTGGGGCTGGGAAAAATGGAGGATTTTCTTTAAAAGTTGGGGTTTTGGTCAATTTCTTGATCTGGGTTTTGCTTAGTTTTTGGTGAGTTTTTTTGGGTTTCTTTTTTTTTTTTTTTTGATTGTGTTTATTATTTGTTACTTGTGATTTATGTTTCGACTTCAATAACAAGATATTTCAGAAATAGTCACTGACGGTTTGTATGTTGTAGTTTTTTTTTTTTTTTCCTGAAAAAAAAAAAACAGCATCTTGGAATGCAAATTTTGGAGGCTAAAATTGGTTATGTTGATCTCTCTAAAGAAAGAAACTTTTTTGGTTTTCAGATAATGCATTGGCTACAATTGGTTTTTCTCTTTGAAGGTTGGGGTTTTGGTCGTCAATTGGCTAAAGAAAGAAGTTTTTTGTTGTTTGTTGCCAATAATTTGTGTTTTCTCTTCAATAGTGAGATGCTGCAGAAATAGTCACCAACGGTTTGTAATTTGTATTTTGCAGTTTTTTTTTTTTTTTCTCTCTGTAATGAGGGACACAAAAATAAAAAAAAAGGGGAAAATTTGGACTGCAAATCTTGCTGGCTAAATGGGTTGTGTTTGTTTGATACTTTGTATTTTGTTTTGTTTGTTTTTGTTTTTTGTTTTTGTTTTTGTTTTTTTCTTTGGTTTCAGTTAATCCATTGAAGCAAGTAATAGAACCGATTTACAAAGATATTTTGTAGCAGAACTCCGTGTGGTCGTTGTTTTTGTTAAATGTGGTTTGTTTTAAAAATTGGGATTTTTTGGTTGTTAAATGTGATGCCAAAAATGAACTGAGATTATTCATTTGATGATCCAAATTATATTATTATAATATTTTTTTTAAAATAATTTAATTTTAATTTTTTTTATTAGAGTGTTTTTTTTTTTCAACCTACACAACTCAAGTACGTGTATTTGGAAATTTCCTTACCTTTTCCTTTTGCAAGTTTATGGACAAAAGATTGGTCCCACCTCTATTATTAGTTTTGAATTTCAATTTTGACTCTGATTTATGATGAATTTCTGACTACGTTCTTAATGCTACAAAAGGCTTGAATTTTTTGTTTTTTGTTTTTTGTTTTTTTGTTTTTTTTTGGTTGATAGAAACTAAAGGCCTGAACTTTGGAATTTACAAGCCAATGACAAATAAAACTTCTGGGACAATTTTTATCTATTTTATTCTTTTTGTCCCTGCTTTTGGCCGAAACCTGAAAGCCATATATTTTCTACTTTCATGTATGAACAAAAAAACCACAAGAAAATAAAGTTCTTTCTTCTTTCGAACTGAGATAAAATGCTCTCAACAGAGGCAGAAAATAGAATTGAATAGAATAGAATAAACCAGAATCTGCAAAGAAAAGATTATTGTACCAAAATCCGTTATCCATCTAATAATCTAAAATATTCACTTTAACATCAAGTAAAAATGCACTCTGAAAGGCCACAAATTTCCTCGTTGCTCCACTTAAACCAGATTATGAAATTCCTACTAGTAATTCAAAACATTCCCTTTCTTTTTTTTTAACCTTTTAGTAGTCTCCGAAATTCTGCGGTTTTATTGAGGAGGTGATGCACCGGTTTGTAGCTTTATGAGAGAATAGTATGCACCATTACGCCCTAAAGAGATCAATTCATTGTGTGAGCCTTGTTCTGTAACTCTACCATTCTTGATGACAGCAATGGAGTTTGACTTCTGTATGGTGGACAGTCGGTGAGCGATGACGACGCAGGTTCTTCCGACCATCATCTTTTCGAGAGCTTCTTGGACCAAGTTTTCGGACACACTGTCAAGGGCACTTGTGGCCTCATCCAGGAGGAGGATTGACGGGTTCTTGAGTATCGCCCGAGCAAGCGCAATCCTTTGTTTCTGGCCTCCTGATAGCTGAACTCCTCTCTCCCCACAGTATGTGCCGTAACCATCTTTCATTCCACTGAAAAAGCCAATTCCAAAGGCCAAAAACAGAACAAATGAAAATCGGGTTTTAGCAAATGAAATCCGGTTTCCATGGCATACAACATTTTCTGTTTCTCTACCACATTAATTAGAAGTCAATCTTGAGAGGATTACAAAGTCACTTTTCTCCCTTGAGCATGCAAAATGTTTTATTTTATTTTATTTTTAATAGGAAAGCTTGTTTACTGTAATTTGTAAACTGCACTGTTTTCGCGTACCTTATGAATTCATGAGCATTAGCAAGTTTTGAGGCCTTTCGTATCTCGGATTCTGAAGCCTTCTCTGTCCCGTAAGTGATGTTTTCGCGGATAGTTCCAGCAAAAAGTGTAGGCTCCTGACTCACTAGTGCAATATGGGATCTCAAAGCTCTTAAATTGTAGTTCTTAATATCTTGTTCATCTATGTGTACCGATCCCCTCAAAGGATCGTAAAACCTCTCGATAAGTCCAGCAATGGTAGATTTTCCGGAGCCACTCTGGCCTACTAATGCAACTGTTCTGCCTGCTTCGATTCTAAGACTTAGTCCCTTGAGGATCATCTGCTCAGGTCTAGTTGGATATGAAAAGAAGACATTTTTAAACTCGACGCGACCCTTTATCCTCTTCTTGAAGTCAAGCCCCATTTTGTTATCCGGGTCAATCTCACTTTTCCTATCCAAAATTGCAAAAACAGATTGAATGGCACTGCTTCCTTTTGATATATCAGAAGTCATGCTTCCAGCTTCTGCAATGATATAAGCAGTGAAAAGCAATATCAAAAATGCTTGAAAAAGGTGCTTTGGAGTAATCATCTCTTGCACCAGTAACCTCCCACCATACCAGTAAGCTAAAGCTGTAGCAGCTGTGTTGAAGAATTGTGAGCTAAACAATCCGAAACCCGAGACATAGGACTGCTTAATGCTCTCCTTCTTGGGACCTCTCAAGGTGGCACCGAAGAGCCCCAACATCTTTTTCTGAGAAGAAAATGCGGTGATAGTCCTGTGGTTAATGACAGCTTCACTTGCCAACTGACTTCCTTCCTTTTGAGCTTTTCGGGCTTTTTCAGCCATACTCTTCATCAAGACACTTCTTGCGTAAAAGCTTCCGATGACTAGTGGTTGCACTGCTATCATCACGAGGGTTAGCCTCCATGTGAGAAAGAGACCAAGCCCATAAGCAAAGGCAGCACCGAAAAACGCTTGGACAAGCAGCGACATCCTGTCTCCGACGAGGGATCTTACCATGTTGGCTTCGGTGGCTAACCTTGCACAAATGGCTGCACTTGTGTTCTCATCTTGATCAAAATATCCGATCTCAAATGTCATTAACTTCTCAAGCAGTTTCTCCCTCACTCTTTTCGTCAACTTTTCTCCCATGACCGCAAAGTTGTAGTGTTGCAGGGTGTTTGTGAAAAAGTTGAAGATTCCAATGCCTAAGAACATGAGGGACAAAACTCTAGATTTGGACTTAATTTCAGACTCATCCTTGAGAAAGTATATTGATATCAGTGATCCAACACAGTAGGCATTTATAGGCTGTACTGCCCCCGAGCCAATCGCCCCCAAGCATCCAAGTAACACTTGTCCCCACTCAGGTGAGTTCAGTTTCAACAGCCGCCATTGAGAAGGAGCCGGCTGAGTTGAGTATCCCGAGTATTCTTCATCACTTTCGTAAGAGGGATCATATTGAATAGAGTACGAGTAGGGTGTCCCCATGGAGACAGACATTGCTGTGCTGAAGGCGTATAGTGCGGGAGTGCCTGGAGCGCTTGATCTGATACTGTAAGGACTTCTATGAGGACTTGGTGAGACACTCCTCCTACGTCGAGGTATGTCCTCTATTTCAGTACTCGACTCGTTTTGAGCCTCATTTTGTGCTACCATTTGTTGTAACCGCACCATCTTGGCATATTCACCATGCTGGCCTCCGTTCAGCTGCATCAACTCATTGTGTGTGCCTGATTCGACTACTTTCCCCGACTGAAGAACCACAATTGTGTTTGCTGCTCGGATTGTGGACAGGCGGTGAGCTATGATAATTGTTGTTCTTCCTTTTGATGCTTGATCAATGGCCTCTTCTACTACTCTTTCAGCTTGCGCGTCCAGTGCACTAGTGGCTTCATCAAGCAGTAGAATCTTTGGATCCCTCAAGAGAGCTCGTGCAATGGCAATTCGCTGCTTTTGTCCACCGGACATTTGAAGCCCGAATTGGCCAACCTGGTAAACCGCAATGGTTGAAATTAGAAAGGTTTCCTAAATGATTATACTAAGTGATGTTACATGTTTGTGGACAAAATTTTTCTAACTTCTCCAAAGGACGTCCCATAAAAATGAACCTTTCTAAAACAAGTCAAAGCCAACTCTTAGTTTGAGCATTGTATCTCTTATTTCTAAATTCATTAAACAAGTAACCAAGCTTAGAAGCAAAAAACACTTTAAAAAGTATAAAATGGGAAGAATCTATGTTTGCTTACTTGAGTTTCGTATCCGTCCGGCAACTTGACGATGAAATCGTGTGCATTTGCAGCTTTAGCAGCAATTATCACCTGTTCCATTGAAGCCCCTTCCTTGCCCAAAAGTATGTTCTCTTTTATCGATGTTGCGAATAAAACCGGTTCCTGATTAACAAGCCCCATTTGGGATCTCAACCATTTTAGCTGCAGCCTTGTTATTCTGTATCCATCCAAGCGTATTTCTCCTTCTATGGGGTCATAAAACCTCTCAAGCAATGCAATGATTGTGGACTTTCCAGAGCCACTACCCCCAACAAGGCCGACCTTCTTACCGGCTGGAACGTTCAGGCTTAAACCTTGCAAGACTGGTGTATCCGGTCTTGATGGATAGCTGAAATGAATGTTCTTGAATTCCACTTCTCCTCTGACATATGATAGGGCCTTCCCTTTCCTTTCTTCGGAGTCAATAGCCGGTACTCGATCAATCATTTCAAGAATCCGAGTAGTGGCTGCTAACGCCTCTGTGATGCCTGTTAAATTTGGTAGGGCACTTAATATACTCCTGAAGTGACAAAACCAAAGAATTGTGAATACCAAACTGAATTGAGAAATGAGGTTTATTAATGAATATGAGAATTTGGGAAGCCACTTGAGGCTAGCTCAAAACCGGGTGCGTGAGTGTATGCGTATGTCCACTAGAGTTTGAATCCTTGTGGCTTCATTTTTTGTTAGTAAAGCGAGAGTTATAGGCCCCACACCATAACAAAAGAAAAAAAAAAGTAATTAAGAAGAATGACTCACAAGCCTCCCATAAGAACGTTGAACCCAGCTATAAAAACATGGCCACCCTCTTCGCCTTTTTGAGTCACCAAATACGTCCCAACCCAAGCCTGGAAGCCCCAGCCAATGTAAATCACTCCCATGGTTCCCAGCATCAGTCCCTTGGTGAGACCAAGCTTTATTCCAAATTCCAGAACCTTTTGAAGTGCAGAGCTGAACCTATTGAGTGTTTGATTCTCTCCTACGTACGAGAATACGGTTCTTATCGAAGAAAGCGCTTGCTCGGCTATCCCACCGGCAACTCCATAAGCTTCAATTGATTTCATGACAAAGCCCATCATGATCTTCCCAAAGAACAGCCCCGGTGCGATGAACATGATTGAAAGTGGTATGGCTGCTAATGTGAGCCTCCATGAGAGCTTGAAGGCAAATATGTGGCAGAAAAGGAAGGTTGACATGTAAGCTAGGCAGTTCGGGATCTACAAACAGGAAAGATTCAAATTTTATTAGAGGCATTACCACAACTAAAAGTCTTGAAATCTCCCGTTCATCTTGAATTTTGATCACTAAGTTTTAGTGTATTAAATTTTTGCTTGCCATTTCTTTTACTGTGCATCTATGAAATTAAATAACGGGAATCATTTATATTTCTTGGGCAATTGGCCAAAGTACAAAATATGGACTAGCATCGTTTTTAGGAGCTTTCTATGGTATGGAAACTCTATCGGTAATTCGCGTTTCTGAACGTTAGATATGGTCATAATTAAATCAGTATTAAAATATGAGGTTTAAAGTAGTACTCGACCGATAAGGTATTTTTTCACATCCGACCAAAGAATTTTCGTATTTTTCAACCCGGTTTGAGCAAACTTATAGAAAGGTGTTTCTGAAAGGAAATACCTTTTCACATAGAGCAACTTGGACAGCATTTGCATCAGAGGAGATGATTGAGACAACTTGGGAAGTTGTTGAAGAACCAGCAGTTTGGGTGTCAAAAAAACTAACTTCTTGTCTGAGGACAGATTTCAAATATTCTGTTCTCATCTTAGAAGTCTGCCTCTCTGCAGTTCTTGTCCAACAAACTCCTTCTGCAAAAAGTAAATTTGAGGGAAAAATAGTAAGGTCCTATTATTAGGGAGATTCTCTGATACGTTTGGCATACCGGTAGATCAGGTTCTTTTAACCGCTAAATCTGCGTACTTTTTAACTTTTACGTGATTTTATGCAGATCTGACGAACAAAAAACTTGACTTACCGGTATGTTGGCATACCGGAGAATGTCCCTTATTATTAACTCTTTCTTGTTTTTTATTTTTTATTTTTGGGTATTATCTTAAAATCAATTAAGTTGCTTTAACTTACCAACAAAGGCAGAAAGTCCAACTCCAATTGCAGCATATAGAAGTCTGAGTGCAAACTGGAAAATAAAAATCACAAAGGAAAGAAAATTTACACACTGCTTTGAAGTACTCAAAGACCATTATTCAATGATCAATATATATGAGTTTTATTAATATTTTTTAAATTTCCATTACTACATGTTCTTCATGCCATCACACAAAACACCGTTTGTTCCAAAATTTTGTGTTTCTTTTTCTTGTCCTCAGAAAACAAGGAAATACATATGTCCTATAAACAAAGGCATTTATTGTGAGAAACATATAAAAATCATGCAGCAACAAGTTTTCAAGTAATAGGAGAATCACAAAGTACTTACATATAAGAGCTTTAGTAGTTTAAAAGTTTTTCTTTCCAAACAATCATTTTTAGGGACATATTTTCCGGAGCAGAGCCAGAAAAATCAGTCAGGACTCAGGTGGGGCATGAATGAACTAATGAGGTTGAGCAAATAAAGAGATATAGAATTTTTGGGGTTGAAAAATACAAAATTTAAAAAACTTTATCTACAAAATTAAAGAGAGAGAAAAAAAAAAGTTCAGGTGGGACGACTGCCTACTCCGTGGATGGCTCCGCCATGAATATTAACTTAACACACTTTTTGTTCCCTGAATTGTTCTCTTTCCTGTTTTAGTCTAAACTTGAGCCATTATTATGAGAATTTGATGATATGTTTACCTTGTCTACATCATCATTAGTGAGAGTGCCATTGGGAATTCCATAAGAATTGATAACATCACTAAGAATGTACATCATGAGAGGATTCTGCAAGCCATCTCCCATACTTCCCAAAGTCCCAAACAGCATCAATATCATGTCTATGCCATCTGCATAACGAAACATGCTATTTTTCACCCCCATTAATTTGCCTTCCATTGTTGTTGCTCTTTCTAGCTAGAAGAGCAAAGTTCTTGTAACTCCAAACTTCTCATACAAAATTCATTACCCTTTTAAATCCAATTGAACAAACATTTATAAAAAAACGTTTCTTAAGCATCTTGGACAGATTATGTTATCTAATGCTAGGAGGCAGTGACAATTCCAATGCCAAGCGGAGTTAATTAATTGGTCTTTTTAAATGAAATAGCCGGCATCCTTTGTATGCCTTTGTAGGTCATGAATGTATTAATGTTTTGTTTTTATATATAAGACCAACTAGTAACTTTGCCGAGTTATATGACCTTTTTTTCCTTCTTTTTTTTTTTGGTCATTTAATTTTGAAGTGATGGGATTTGAACTCTATATTATACAATCAATGACGCTGTCACATTTGTGTAAATTGGATACTTACCCCCACTCATATCTTAAAACCACAAATTTTTTTCTTCCCTGTGAAGAATTTCTGTTGTAGCCCTCAGTTTATAAAACAATTATAATTGTGTCCCTATTTAATAATTATAAATTTATAATATATAATTATTTCCTTATTTCTCTGACTTTTTTATAGTGCCTCTATGGAAAAAATTTTGTAACTCCATCACTATTTACGGCGGAATCAAGTGTGGAATTACGTGCAATCATAGATGCCCTCTCCTTTTGGTTATAATATGTATATTGTTTATTTGTCTTTATGTATCTCCTAGTACTTGCTTGGAATGATTCTCATTTCTTACTCTTGAAAATTATGCCTATAGGTCGAGTCTAATACACTATCATCAAGGTGAAAAAGACTTGGTTTGATCATTCAAGGAAAATATATGATTGATACAAGTTTTTTCTTGTGTCTTTTGCCCCTTTTTTTTTTTTTGTTTTCTTGCTCTAGTTTTGCCTAGTTGAATAAGGCTAAACTCATGTACAACTTTTCCCTATTCGGCCACAGTCTAATCCATTATTCCACCCTCGTTGTTTTTGTTTTTGTTTTTTTGTTTTTTTTTTTTTCTCAATTAATGTGCCTCGTGCCTGCATTTGAAAATCCTGCCAAAACATGAAAAAAAAACAAATGGTTTATGTTTGGGAAAATATCATATTAAAAAATGATTGAATCATGAAGATTCTCTCTCTTAAGGGTATCCCACATTTTTTTCCTAAAGCTAATTGTTTTACTCGTCAGCTTTCAAAGGCGTCACTTTTATTATGACCAAAGGAGCTTGTTTTCTTTTATTGGTTTTTCTTTACATGTCATTCTCTTAAGTGGTCAAAACTCAAACAAAAAAAAAAACAAAAAAACAAAAAACAAAACCTTTAAGTGCGACCATAGAATGTTGATATTGAATTGATTGCATTGTTACAACTTTGGATCAAGTCTTGTATTGAAAAAAAAAATTAAAATTGGAACGTGTCTCCGGTGTCATATAATCAGGCTATGTGTATTCGCGTTCCTGTGTGTATTGATACATTAGATATGTACAAGTGCATGTAGCATATTCCATTCAATGCCACTTAAAAGTCACATTTTTGTTTTATTATAGTTTTATTTCTTATATATAACTGTTTTCTTATAGATTGGAAGGCTAGAAAAAGAGGCAATTATGTCCCTAATAGATATACAAAGTTGCCATTCATATATATATATATATATATATATATATATGTATATGTGTGTGTGTGTATGTATGCATGTATGTATATGTATGTGTGTGTATATATGCCATGCTTTAGTCTTGTTCTATAATCGCTTTTGGGATGGAATGACACCTTATTGAAGACACAATATTTGTACATACATACACAAATATATATATATATATATATATATATATATAACACACAAATATATGAAATGGAACTAAGGCACATGGGGTCAGAAGGCCAAATTTTTGTTGATAAAATAACTTCTCTCACGCTTCCAAAAGACTTGATAATCTAGTATTTAGTATGTACCTGCTCTCCATTCTTTTTTCAATTATCAAAACTGATTTCACAGCCAGAAAGCCGTGCAAGGGAAAATACAATATTTCATGGTCAACCATTTGGTGAAAAGAATAGCATAATTGGTACCTTATCAAATGTTATCCCATTAAAGAGAATTATATTGTTTACAGGCTCGTTTAGTTCGCTTGTTCGAGTTTTTAATTCGAGTTGAGATGTGACTTTATGTGAGTGCCTTTTACAGTAATAAAAAATTAGATATGACTGTTTCTAAGAGCTTTTTACTGTAATAAAATTCGAATTCTAAACTCGAATCGGTAAAATGAACGGACCTACATATTTTTCAAACTCTAATTGCAATTTGTCTGCTGGTTAGTGAAGAAAAAGAGCCAAGTCAAACTCTCTTTTAATGGTGTTGTCCATCCTATTTTTCTACTTATGACGTTCATGTCATTTAATAAAAAAAAATGCTTAGAAACACCACTAATATTAAGTACCATTACTAATAGAAGGTAGACCCACTTATAAGTCTTATGCTGTGGGACCCACATTTTATTAGTGAGTGGGGCTGAGCATCACCGGTGTCCAATAATATCGATCCATTCAATACAACTCTAGCTTTTTGGAGTTGAGAAAACTTTTTTCCTCCTCTTTTCTTCCCAAAGTTGGAAGGATTAAAAATTAGTAGGCGCCATGAATTTTTATTTTCCTTCCTTCCTCATTTCCTCTCTACCAAACAACCTATAATTCTATTTTTCTCTACAAAATTATTCTTTTGTTTTCTTTCATCTCTCTTTTTCACCCTATTAAACAGACTGTAATATTATGAGACTTATATTTTATTAATGAGTGATGTTGAGCATTACCGATATCCAATAACATCGATCAACTCAATACAGCTCTAGCTTTTTAGTGTGAGAAAACTGTCTTTGGAGGGGAATTCTACAATGGAGCACCCCATCCATAGTACCATTTATCGCAATCATACGATCTAAATGACGATAATTATAATGCGAATGCAACGATGCTGCCCAAGAAATTGTCTTATACTATCTAACCCCATTCCTTACGTGCCGTTTCATTCAAATCGTGAGATTATGATCGTGTAGTACGTATAATAGGGGTGGTCCGATGTATACATTTTCTTTTTCTCTTTTGCTCCAATGGTGAAATGGTAAATTCTTCCAATCCACCACAAAATTTTCATCATGGACCTTCAATTTTTAATTTTGATATTCACAACCCTAAATTTAATAACCCTGCGCAATTTATTCTAGTCGATAACTGACGTCAATCAGTGGACGATAATTAAAGTCCCAAATACTAAATTAAAAAAATTTAGAGTTCAACTTTCCAAGGACGAAAAGTTTCTATTAATTTATACAAAAAACCTTGAGGCGCTTCAGTCCATAAATCCTTCAACTATGGGACAACATTTGCCTCCGTTTTTAAAATTAAAAGGGTTCCTGGTACAATTGTTAATATATACAAAAAACCTTGAGGCGCTTCAGTCCATACATCCTTCAACTATTGGACAACATTTGCCTCCGTTTTTAAAATTAAAAGGGTTCCTGGTACAATTACCCTTGAATTTGTCGTAGTTTTACAAATTACCCCCCTAATTTTTAATTTTAACAAGTTGTTCATTAAACTTGTAAATTTATTATAATGTGTCTCATTTAATTAAATTTACTCAAATTTTTTTATTAGATTTAAGGGATTAGAAGTTGAGATATATAGAATGATTTGTGTTACATTTGAAATCGAATGTTAAAATTTTTTGCTTAACGTGTTTTTTTTATACTAATTTAATACAATCATCATCAAAATGGGGCTTGCAACAACTTTACAAATTAAAGAGGTAACTTGTTAAAATTAAAAGTTTGATGAGGCAATTTGCTAAACAACGACAAGTTAAAGTGGCAAATGTGCTAAAAAAAATTAAAAATTTGGAGTCTAATCATTTGCCAAATACTAGTAAAAAAATTAAAAACAAATGAAAAATTTAGAGTGCAGCAAACAAAATAAAAAATAAAAAATTAATCCATACACAAGAAGTTTTGGGGATCCTATATTGTGAAACTTAAATTCAAGATGTCTAGATGTCTAGAAGTGCAACCTAATGTAGGCCCGTTTAATAAATGTATTTAAACTTATTATTTTAAGTCTTCTATAGTATTTTTTTTCTCACAGAGAGTTTGAATTAAAAAATCACTAACTTGAATACGTGAACTAAAGTGACCAGTAGATTTTTTTTTTTTTTTTTTTTTTTTTTTTTTTTTTGTGTGGAAGACCTAACGTAGATTGTAGACAAGTGTATCACTACTAAGCTGCACCAACATAGGTACCAATGAGACTTCTATGAACAAACGACAGTGGATTAGTGCTTTATATGTCGTATACGCTAATAATACGTCGTATAGGCTAATAACATGTCGTATTCAGTCTCTATTGGCAACACAAATTAATTTTACTAGAGTAAGGGCTTAATATTCAGATTTTGGATGCCTCAAAATAAGGCTTGTTATGTAATATCCAAGCATCCACAAGTTGCAAAAGGAAAAGAAAATGGTAAAAAGACAAAGTAAACAAGGATATATTAAGATAAATTAGGAGTTTTCAGGATACCATAAGACCATAACAAAACAACCACCAGTTCACAAAGTTCTAAAGGCTAAACCATTAGCCAAACAAACAAAAGGTACTAAAAATATAACTTGAAGATGTAATTTAAATGAACAAAAAAAACCAGGAAAGATAGTTTCACTTCGAAATACGACCGATGTTCGAGAATACGACTGTTCTCGTGCCTGAAAGTCTTGCTAGTTGCCAACGTCGTGAACTAGAATCAAACCTCAGGACCCAAACTTCCGTTACCTGTTCAAGAAATTCAAAGAAGTATTACACATTATGTATAATCATGTTCTTCAAACATGGGACAAAATTAGACTTGAAGAACAAAAAAAAAAGGATTTTTACTTACATGGGAGAAGGCTTTCGGTGTACGAAAAGATAGCAGGACAGTTCCTGTCAAACGCTTCCGCAAAATCAAGTTCTATCCAAGTCCTGCGTCCAATATCATACAGGAAATAATGCTCCGTAGTTATTATAAAGATCTCGTTCTTTCTCCCCGCTGCAGCATCGGTGCCTTCTATGGTCGAGTAGGGAATGTAGTCACTACATTTCCTTTCCCAATAATAAGCCTCATTGTTATACTTAAGAAGCCAGATATCCATGATCAGATCATCATCATAAATAGCAATTAGGCACAAGTGGCCATCCAGATTGGCCAGGAAGGCGTGTGCAGTGACTTCGTCTGGAAGTTCGATTACTCGAAAGTTTTCCTCCATATCAACCGAAAGAATAGACCCTGCAGTCCTGTGATCCTCTTCCGAAGGGAGAAACCAATACACTTTTCCGCCAACAAATATGTTATGATCATGCATGGGGAATTGCGGAACGGAACCTATGCCTCTCCAGGCTCCAGTGCTCGGCGTGTACACCTCACACTCAGGGCAGGAATCCTGAGATTCAGTTTTGGTATGGAAAATCCGAAACACTTTGTACTCACTTGGTCCGAAGGCAACTCCAGCCACTGGTTCCTTCTCTGAGGAGCTACCTGCAGGAAGTAAGTGGACTTTGCGAGTAGCAGGATTGCATATACGGATTTCCAAGTCCGTCAAATCCACTTCGGTCATTCCAGAATCTGGAACCCAGGGACAATTTGTGAAGCATACCAGGCCATTATATGAACATATCATACTAAGGAAAGAAAGATTTTCACAGCGTGGAAGAGTAACCTTTTCGGTCATTATACCATCGGCATTGACCATGTACACATTTGTCACCTCATCCACATATGGGTAAAGTATAAAAGCGGGTTTCTCTTTGGAAAGGCTTAATTGCAATTTTGTAAAACTCGGAGAGCTTATCACACTATGCCAACGTTTATAGACAGCCTTCAACTGTAAGAGGCTTTTAACAGGAACCCTTACAAAAATATTGTCAAGAATATCTCTTGAGGAATCAACATCATACCAAGTGGTCTTTGTCAGTCGGATACGCTTAGCAAGCATTCTGTCCATCGTAAGAATTTCTCGACGGCTTTCCGAGAGAAGCTTCTACGCAGCACTTAAAAAGAATCCCAGATGAAATCTATCTGCATTATGGAGAGTATATCAGGAAATTGTTCGCTGGCATTTAGTATTAAACGTTTGCTGAGAGAATTAGGAAAGAATGGCACATTATATCAAACAAGAGTCAAAAGCGAAAACAACCTAACCGAGAGGCTATCGGAAAGAAAAAACAAGGAAAAGGAACGTTAACAGAAATTTTTAGTTCCTTTACCAATGGCCCTATATTCAACAGCACCTTGTTCCACTCTATCTCATTCTAAACATGTAATAATTTTTCTTGAGTAGGATTTTGTCCCATATTTTGCTAAAGTTCAAATGATCGATTACATTATTGTGCGAATTTAATTCGTCTTCATCAGACGTTCGCAAAAGAACTACAGTCATCTATCTAACAATGATAAGCACATATCATCACAAAAACAATCACTTAAAAGAAAACACTAAAAAAAAGCAAAAAGAAAAAAGAAGAAAGAAAAACTCTACATTTCAGGATTAGTTGACTTGATACATCAGCCTGCAAAATTAAGACCCTTACGGCCTTACCACAAACAGGCACCCTAATCAACTGCTAAATCAAAAGTGTTACATGTTTGAATTCAGAAAACACGCAAGGGGAAGTATATTTTCCAAAAAAAAGGCACGAATTTTTCTATCTATTGATGCAATCTCACACAATTCCGTACTCGAAATGCTAATCTTTTTTCAAATAACATGTGCTAAATGCATAAATGTTAGATGAAGTACTAAGCAATGAAAGAATATTATAACTACAAAAGGAAGATCACAAGACGAGGAAGGCACTCACCGAGCAATGAACCCCTTAGATGACCCTGCAGAGAGAAATTGGAAAATAAACCTTGAATGAACATATAAAGCACGTCGACAGCCAGAAATGTATTCAATGAGAATCAAGGCCTTTAATTAAGCATTGCAACAAGTGGACGGTGAAATACAATCCGGTGGGCGACAATCATGACGAAACAAAGTGCGACGTTTTATTTTCCCCTCTCACACGGTAATGAGGTCTATTGTAAATTTCGCAATAAGTTTCTTACCTTTTTTGGAAGATACCAAATACCTACAGATTACAATGACATGGCATAATCACTCTTGTTCGTTTCACTTTTTCTAGTACGACCCACTGGTCGACACACGCGGTATGCTTGAAATTGGTTTCTAGAGAAATGTTAGGCATACAAATCATTCTGACGTTACACTTTTTTAGCAGTAACACTTCCATTTCAACTAGCTCTATGAAAATACTGGTTTTAGAGTTGTTAATCTAATCGATCCCTTCAATCATACGACTCGTCTAAATTAAGCTTTATTGTTAAGTTTGGCCATGAAAACATAGCAGTAGTGTTCTCGTTTGTCTAAACATTTCTTAAATTTATTTCTGTTGGGATTTGTTTCCCAAATTTTGTATTGATTGATAGGATTTGTTTCCCGAATTTTGTATTGACTCTATTAGTTTTGTGATTGGCATTATTTTGGGAATGCTTGGCTGGTTAATTGGGGTTGAAATCAGATGTGCAGTGGCAAGATCTTTATGGAAGTTTTCTGAAAGAACTGGAAACTTATTTTAGTTTCTATTTTTGAAAGTCAACTTTTGATCCAAAGATGGTAGGTTGATTTGCTTGATTTTTTATGGAGATTTCATAGTTGTATGATCTGCCTTTGTTTCCCAAGAACGTGTCCAGGTTCATATTACAGTTTTGGGAAGGTTTCAGCATAAAGGAAATTGATACGGATTGGATTGGAAGAAGTCAACCATGATAGCTATGTTGCAGTTATTGTTGCAACAAGGATCTTCAACGGATTTGATTCAGCGATTTATTTTGAAGAGGTCGACAAGTTGTTTTCCTTCTGCCTATTTATTCAAAGAGTCTCTTAGTTTATTGTACACCTTTTGACGAAGTTATTGCTGGGTTTTGTGAGAGGTGATCACTTGTATTCAAGAGAGATGATTTGAGTATTTTTGAGAGAAAAACTTTGTTGGAGGGATTCCAATACTAAAAAGTCGAGGGGATCTCGTTGTTCTAGTCCATTAGAAAATTGCAAGTTCATAGGCGTCTTCTTAGAGAGGGAGTCTCGGGTAGATTTAGACCAATTGAATTGTAAAATAATTCTTAGTGGATTGTTCATCAACTGGGCGTGGCCCCACAGAGTAGGGTGTTACCGAACCGCGATACCATTTCTCCTGTGTTCATCTATTTTACGTTTGTTCATTGTACTTATTATCTTATAAGACTCTAACCGGTACTTTCAATTGGTATTAGAGCAGGTCACTAACATGTGTTTCGGTGAGAACCTGTTGTACTAGTTATTTTTGTAGGTATGGATGTCATGAGAGAAGGAGGTTTGGTGAACAAACCACCATATCTAGAAGGTGTCAATTACCCCTATTGGAAGGCTTGCATGAAAGCTTTCATTAAAGCTATTGATGAGAAGGCATGGCAATCTGTCTTAACCGAATGGACTCATCCAACAACTATAGATGACAAAGGCAATATCGTTCCTAAGCTAGAAGAGGATTGGTCCAACGATGAAGACAAGCTAACAAACAGTCATTCAAAAGCATTGAACGCCATTTTCAATGCTGTGGTTGTGAATCAATTCAAATTGATTTCTACATGGGAATCCACGAAGGAAGCTTAGGATATTCTTCAAACTGCGCATGAAGGAACGGATGCTGTGAAGGCCTCAAAGCTTCAAATGCTCACAACTCGCTTTGAATGTCTACGAATGGAGGAGGATGAGTGCATTATCGATTTTAACTCAAAGCTTTATGATATTGCTAACGAAGCCTTCGCCCTTAGAGAAAAATATTCTAACGCCAAATTGGTAAAAAAGACCATGAGATCTCTTCCAGCAAGATTTGCTTATAAAGTGACCGCCATTGAAGAAGCAAAAGACGTGGAAAAGATGAGACTTGATGAACTCATAGGTAATCTTCAAACCTTTGAAATGAACTTTAAGGATCAAAAGAAAAACAGAGGAATTGCTCTTCAAGCAGATTATGAAGAGGTCACTACCAAAGATGAGACCGACGAAGATGAGGATATGAGTGAGTCTCTTGCCTTACTCGCCAAAAACTTCAACAAAATGTTGAGAAAGATCAACAAGAAGGGAAGAATCGGAGAGAATTCTAATAACCGAAACCCTCAAAAGAAGAACTTTTCCCAGCGTTTTGAAGAGAAGAAAAGAAACAAGGGAATACAATGCCGAGAATGTGAAGGATTCTGACATATTCAAGCAGAGTGTGCAAACACCATCAAGAAGAGAAACAAGGCTGCAATGGTGTCTACTTGGAGTGATGACTCGGATGAGAGTAAAGAGGACGCAGATGATCACACCAGCAACTATGTGGTCTTCACTGTAAGTAATAAACTCACTGATAAAACTTTGTTGAACACTGATAATGTTGTTGCAGAATCTGTTGCAACAGCGTCTGCAACAACCTCTGGTAGAGTTGTTAATGATACAGGTTTCGAGGATGAAACTGAAGATGACAGTGACGATGATGACCTAAGTCTTGAGAAGATTCAGGAGGCCTATAAGAAGATGTACAGTAAGTGGCTTGTTGATGCAATCGAAATAAATCTCTTGAAGATGAAGTTACTATCTTAAAAAGGGAAAGAGATGAGTTGAAAAAGGCTGCAACAAATTACGAACTATTGGCAACAAAGCATCAAAGAAAGCTTGTTGAAACCAGACTCGAATTGGAGTAGACCCAGAAGAATCTGAGAATGCTAAATTCGGGAATTGCAAAATTGGATCACCTACTTTCACAACAAAAAACTAGAAGTGATCAATCTGGACTTGGTTACAAGGGTCAAGGAATGTCTGGAAAAACTGTCTTTGTGAAAGGAGCCTCCAGTATGAGAATGCAGGTCCCTCAGAAATCTCATGTAAGATCAGGTAAGAAGTATGTTGCAAAGCCAGTTAGACAAGCAACAAATAGGTTTGTTCCTATTTGTCATTATTGTAATATGCCTGGACATATTCGACCATGGTGCTTTAAGTACATAAATGCCAGTAATAAAGATTTGAATTTGGAGTATGGAAAAGCAAAACGAACACCTAGAATCAAAATTGATTTATCTCATAAAAATACAAGAAAAATATGGGTTAGAAAATCCGATTTAAGGTGTTTTGTTGCTTATACTTATTTAAAAGTATGTACTACTGATGCATGGTATTTTGACAGTGGTTGCTCCAGACACATGACAGGGACTCAGGAAAACTTGTTAAACTTTTAAGAAGGTGACAAAGGATGTGTGACTTTTGGAGATAGTATGAAAGGTCGTGTTCTTGGTAAGGGAACATTGAATGTTGATGGTTTTCCTAAACTAAAGAATGTGATGTTCGTGGATGGTTTGAAAGCAAACTTAATCAGCATAAGTCAATTGTGTGATCAAAACTTATTTGTGAAATTCACAAAAGATTCATGTCAAGTTTTTGATGATAATGATTGTTGTGTCATGACAGGAGGAAGATCATCGGATAATTGTTATTTACTTATTCTTCCTCACAACACATCACACACTCACAAGTGTCACAATGCTTCAACTAATGATATTGATATTTGGCATCAAAAGTTGGGTCATTTAAATTTCAAAACCTTGACAAAAATTGTGAGTACAGGAGTAGTGCGTGGAGTTCCTGATTATGCCCAAACGTGTACAAAACAAGCGGTCAATTGTAGCACAATTAGGACGGTCGATCCCACGAGAAAGTGACAAATCGAACAAGAAACGATTAGCAAATAAAAAGCTTTAGGAGATACATAATAAAGTAAAAATAAAAGAGAATGGAATTTTTGTTGAGAAGTTAAAGTATAAGAAAAAGATAGGAGAAAATTATATAATTAAAACCGGTAAGGCGTCGAGATTTCCCTATATGCTTCGTTCACCCGAATGGATTTTGATCCTTGAGATTACTCAATTGAAAGTTTCACATCCCAAACTAACAATCGGAAAATATATATTTGAAGAACATGTGAATTAAAATGTATTCGAGTGAGTAAAATTCTTACGTTTAGTATTAGGAAAAATCATCTTAAGAGAAATTTAAGAGCGACAATATACCATTGGCAATATTGCAGTAAAAGACTACTCATAAAATAATATCTATCAATATATAGTATCATGCAACAATCACATAAAAAGAGCTTGACTAGATTTATATAAAAGTTGACAATAAAATATATCAATATGAGAAATTAGAAAAAGATAGAAAAAAATTAATCACTCAAATATATAAACTTTAAAAAACAAATGGAGAATCAAAATTCACTCAAGATCACTTCACATATAGGTTTCTCTCTAACCTCACCAAAGAGAAGAAGATGTCTAAACTTAGGCTAAAAATTAACAATCAAATTATCTTGATAATAACCCTATTTATAGACTTTTGGGTCATGGTAAAAGTAATAATCAGCAACAAAAATAATAAAGAAAATAAGGTTAAAAACGTTTCCTTATTTAATTGTGAATAAAAGTTGATTCGGTAAGGCTGAAAGTAATCTCAGGTGTTTCAAACGGCAGAACAACGGACACAGACGCATCAATTGGCTGAAAAATTCCAAACGGCCGGGACACGTGTCGTACGGAGAGAAGCTGCGAAGAGAAAACGGCCGACGATGCATACTCTGAAACGTGGCACGCTGTGATTAGCGGAGAGGAAAGGTTCTGCACAGATGGAGCCCACGCGGAAGAAAGCCTGAGGCGTGGCGTGCGCTGATTTGCGGAGAAGCAAAGTGGCCGACAGGTGTGACACGTGGCGCGAACTGATTCGGAGACTGCTGCGACGCGGGACCCAAACGGAGAGGATTGAAGAACTGCCTATCGTGCGCGTGGAGGAGACTCGCCCGGGGAGAGAACCGTGCGCGCCAAACGCGCGTGCGCGAGGAAACAGGTGGAGCCCACGCTGAAGAGAGAGAGAGGCTGGCTTACGCGCGCGTGGCAACAACTCGCGACCTGGGCTTGGCGTGGACGAAACGCTCGCGCGGCTGAGTGGGAAACGTGGGGGTTCGCCAGAAAACGCCACGTGGCTCGGCTTGTCGAGCGGCTCGAATGGCTTGGCTCGGCGGCGGCTGACTGACAGCTGGGCTTCATTTTCATTTTCTTTAGTTTTGACCCAAATGTCTTATTTCCCTACAAAACAAATTAAATTAAATTAAAATCAAATACTTTCACAAAATATTAATTCCACAAAAATATTTAATTAAAACTTAATTTATTTAGCAATTATGAACAATTTAGGTGCATATTCATGCACTTAAACTAGATCAAAACCTACAAAGCCACCAAGCACTCAAACAAAATGTCAGAAAGAAATCAGAGAATGATATCAAAACCACTTCAGTCATAATTTCAGAGTCGTATGTGTGTGCACCAAACCGTATCCCTCTTACCACAGTCCATAACACAAATAGCATCGTAAAACTCACCAAGAAAAAGTCTCAACTCCATTTTCCTCACGGGTGTTAGAAATATTTTAATGCAAATAGTTTTCACTCATGGAGTTGGAAGTCAATCAATCAACGCTTAAATGAGGGAAGGCAATTTAAGGACAAGCTAATAAACAAACATTGATCAAATGATAGAGAAATCAAATATTTGGAACAATCCATCACTCAAACTATAAACAAGCTTTCGGGATTTCATTCTGGTCAAGAGGAAGATCTCATAAACAAACAAAGAGCCGAAAAATACAAACAAATATACACAAACTTTTTTTTTCTTTTCTTTCTTTTTTTCTTTTTTTTTATTTTTTTTAGGCAAGAGACAACATATATTTGACGAAGCTGATGTAGTAAGGCATTCTTTTGACTGACTGCTATGCAGCACAAGATGTGGGTGCAACCAAACTACGTAAACATTGGTGATAAAATGATGCTCTTGCTCTTTTTTCTTTTTTTTCTTTTATTTTTTTTATTTGTTATTTTTTGGAAGAAAATTAAAAGAAAAATGATAAATATTTACAACACATGACTCAATTCTAAAAATTATTCCTAACCAGAAATCATCCCTCAAGTAAATATCACAAGTCAAGTAAAGGTGCTCCATTAATGACTCAACTAACTCAAAAGATCAATGAAAGTTCAAAAAGTTATTTTCTCAATTCTCACAACTCACCAAAAATGAAAAACTTAAACTCGGGAGTTTTTCTCAACTAAATGTGTTAACAACCATCTTACCACAAGGTTTGGCATGTGCTCAAAA